GAGCAAAAATTAATATAAGACACTGTCTTATTTTCGGGAAACAGGGTAGCTTTCTCAAGCTTTCCCACCTATTAAGAATTTGGTGCCACTTTAGGACCTCCGCTGTTGTCTATGTGGTGCTTATGAGCCCGCCATTTGAGCCCTTGGCTACTTTCTCTTGGACTCCATTAAGTCAAAAGATTGGTTTCCTCATAGCCATTAGATTGGCCAGGATGGTGTCTGTGAGATACAGGCAGATCCTCCTTTTACAGTATTCTGTAAGGATAAGGTAGCCCTGCATCCCCACCCTAAGTTTTTAACTAAAGTTAAAGTTAGCTTTTATTTAAAGTTGTGTTAGCATTTATTTAAATCAGACAATATATCTATATTCTTCCTGAAACTACACTTGGGTGTGATAGTCTGTACCCCTATGTTCACCCATTTTACAAAGCATACTGTGTAAATTCATGATTTGTCCTTGTAAAATATGTGTGGCAACATTGTATGTAATGATACAAGATTCCATTGTATAATATTACCAAGGCACATTCCAACATGTTCTGGAGGACAGTCCCAAACAAATTCCCCAGAGAGGAAAGACTAGTCAACACCTCAACTAGGTGTCAAATGGACCACCATCTGGTTAAGTGGCCACTCTTTGGCAAAAGAGAGGGTGTGAACAAAATATCTATATTTTGACAACGCAACCTAAGGTACCTGCCCACAGATTTTCTGTCTTCTGAACATCATCTGGAGAGGATTCTTGCACAGAAGAAAGGGCTAGATGTGGAGAGGGCAGATGCCCCAAATGATTTCTCCCTTGCTGTCTACCCACGGCATAATCAACCCCCGAAGAACAAAGGAAGCAGCATTGGACTGTGGGGGGGGGGAAGGGGGTGCACAGGAGATTCTGAATGAAACAGGGTTCAGCCAGTAAGACTGCTGGAATATTTGGTGAGAGACCTTCGGTTTGTATTCACTTAGCTTGTTAAGTTAGGTATTAGTTGCATTTTACCTTTTGTTTCCTTGTAACCTATTCTGACTTATATGCCTCATTACTTGTACTCACTTAAAATAGATCTTTCTGTAGTTAATAAATTTAGTTCATTGTGTTATCTATACCAATGTGTTTTGGCTTGAAGTGTTTGGGAAACTGCCTTTGAGATAACAATATTTGTGCATATCATTTTCTATTAATTAATGCCTGACTTTATATGAACTTCTATTGTGCAGGAGGGTGCAGGGCAGTACAAGATACACATTTCTGGGGGAAAGTCTGGGACTGGGTGTGACATTCAATACCTTGGGGGAGTGTACTGTAACCCCCATATTCCTCATTTTCATATAATCGCGATCTTGCATATAAAGCATGCCTTGTAACAGGGGTGGGCAAACTTTTTGGCCTGAGGGCCACATCTGGGTGGGGAAATTGCATGTAGGGCCATGAATGTAGGTCTGGGGCAGGGTGTTGGGGTGCAGGAGGGAGTGCGGGGAGTGGGGGGCTGAGGTGTGCAGGAAGAGGCTCAGGACAAGGGGTTGGGGCGGAGGAGGGGGCTCAGGAAGGGTGTGGAATGTGGGAGGGGGTTCAGGGCAGGGGGTTGGGTGCAGGCAGGGTATGGCATGGGGCTCAGGGCAAGGGGTTGGGGTGCGGGGTGCAGGAAGGGTTCGGGGTGCCAATTACCTGGAGTGGCTCCGGGGTGGCAGCAGCACCATGTCACTAAGGCAGGCTCCCTGCCTGCCCTGGCCCCGCACCACTCCTGGAAGCGGCCGGCACCATGTCCCTGTGGCCCCTGGCAGGGAAGGGGGGCAGAGGGCTCTGTACACTATCCTCGCCTGCAGGCACCGCCTCCCGCAACTCCCACTGGTCAGGAACAGGGAACCGCAACCAATGGGAGCTTTGGGTGTGGAAGCCACAGGTGAGGGCAGCGTGTGGTGCTCTCTGCCCCCACAGGGGCCGCAGGCACGTGGTGCTGGCCACTTCCGGGAGCGGCACAGGGCCCGTAGTGCCATGGGGGTGGCAATCCCATGGGCTGGATCCAGCCCGCAGGCCATAGTTTGCCCAACCCTGCTTTGTAAGGTATCAGGGGAAAGGTTATGATCTGCTGAAAGTCATTTCTCTATCCATATATGTGTATCATTAATGCATATGAAGTTATGAGAATTGTGTTGTATGGTGGTCACTAAAACATGCTGCAAGTTGGGGAATCAGCCAGTTATTAGCTCCCCAGAGGCAACAGCAAGCAAAGTAACCAATGCCCGTGCGGGGTGTCAAACAACCCATCAACAGCCATTGTCCAGCAAAGGAGCTACAATGCAATGACTCACCTGCATGAGGCAACACCAGGGCAATTGCTCAGCCTTGCTTGGAGAGACTCAGCAGTGCCCCCCAGACATGCCTGGACTTGTGCTCCCCAAGTACATAGACTGAGGGTATAAAACAGAGTGGACACATACTGGGCCCTTCTCCTGCCCCCACTTTCACTGCAAGCAAGACACTGAAAAGAAGATAAGACTCTAGCAGAGGAGATTGTTCCTTAAACTGGGCCAAACCTGTATATTAAGGACTGCAGTATCTGGTGGGGTGAGAAAAACTGCTTAATCTAGATGTTGCCCAGTCTAATAGGGTTGAGAGTTTAAACTGCGTGCTTATATTTTATTTCATTTTGGTAACCACTCTGACTTTCTGCCTATCACTTAATATCACTTAAAATCTATCTTTGTAGTTAATAAATTTCTTTGTTTATTCTATCTGAAGTAGTGTGTTTGGTTTGAAGCGTGTCTGAGGCTCCCCTTGGGATAACAAGCCTGGTACATATCAATTTCTTTGTTAAATTGACGAACTCATATAAGCTTGCAGCATCCAGCGGGCATAACTGGACAGTGCAAGAGGGAGGGTCCTAGGGTTGTGTCTGGGACCGGAGATACTGGCTAGTGTCATTTGGTTGCACAATCCAAGGAGCAGCTTACGTGCCAGAGGCAGTGTGTGAACAGCCCAGGAGTGAGGGTTCTCACAGCAGAGCAGGGTAAGGCTGGCTCCCAGAGTCAAGGAGTGGAGTGACCTAGCAGATCACCGGTCCGGGTAACACCAGAGGAGAACGTCACACTGGGAGTTTGCTGATGTTGCCCTAAAATGTAATTCTTGAGTGGCTGGCTATAGCACTCATACAGTATAGCTGGGAGTGATTTACATGCTAGAGGCTGTGTGTGAGCAGACCAGGAGTAGTTAGTCTCACAGAGAAGCAGGGTAAAAGGCATCCCATGCTGGAGATTTGAGGGGACACAGCTGTCCATCAGTCCAGATTGTACCCTGGCTAATGTAAAAGGAAGAATATCTACGTACTTTGGACATCAAGAGGGAGTTAGCTAATGTAACTTGGTGAACAAAGTTTGTAGTGTAGACATGGCCTTAGTTAAAGGTTTTCTTTTCTAACTTGGTGGATTCATTGTGGAATAAAAGGGTGTTCTCCCCTATGAAGCCTGTCTTGAACTTATTGGCAGCCCCCAGGAAGGGGGCTGTGACGGTTGTTGGAACAGTGGTCTCTTGTCTTTTCAAGTGTTCCACTTATCCCTAGCGTTCTCTCTTATCTTCGTTGTAAATAGTTAGTAGTTAGTAAGTGTTAATCTTTCTTTTATAGTATTAAGTGTAGTTTAGCTGTTAAAGGGTGGTCTTGTCAACGACTGCCCTGCAGGGCTCTGGGGCATGCCATCTCAGAGCTTCAAGTCTTGCAGCAGGCCCATGTCCACGGGCGACCCCCACGATTCCTGTCTCAGGTGTCTGGGGGAGGGCCATCAAGCAGACAAGTACAAAATTTGTAAAGCGTTCAAACCTCGAATGCGTAAGGAGAGGGAGTTCTGTCTTAGGCAACTCCTCATGGAGTCGGCCCTGCGGCCCTCTCAAGACATGGGCCCAAGCACCTCGGTGCGGAGTGCCCCTCTGGCAGTACCGGCTCCAACACCACAGAAGATCCCATGCTCATCTCGGGACCAGCGTTCTCCCGGGCCGCAAAAACGTCCACCTCGGCACCACTCCCATTCCCCAGCTGCTGCCAAGAAACAAGCTGTGGGACAACCTTCTCGTAGAATCGAGACAGTTGTCACGGGCCCGGCAGTGCAAGACCCTGGACAGACCTCTGATCAAGTAACCATGCCTCGATCTCTTCAGACCACCCCTCCACACGAGATGGTGCAAGTAGAAGAGATCATTCTTCCTTCCACGCCAAACACCTTCGAGGCGGCGAGAGGCCTCATAGAGATGACGGCTCCAGTGCTTCCGGCCCTGACACCAGCCCCAATTCAGGCCCCAGTGCCATCCAAGGGCAAGCCAGTGATGTTCTGGCTGTCAGGCCCCGGACCAGCATCTCAACCCTGCTCAGAGACCCGGTGCCGTTCTGAGTCCCGGCACCACCCCAGGTCTCGGTCTGACTCACGGCACCGGTATGACTCACGGCACTGGTCCCACAGTCTCGAACCTCGGAGCCGCTCACACTCGAGGTCGTTTTAGACTGTGCATACATGGTCCCGCTCAAGGTCCAGATCTCGATCTGTGACCTCGCAGCACCATTCGCTCCAACGAGCTGTGGGTTCCCGATCCCCGAGTCAGCGATCGCCACGGCGGCACCGCTCTCCGGCTCGACACCGCTCCTGGTCGTGGCACCGCTCAATTTCCTGGCACCGCTCGCGGTCACGATCAGCCTCCCAGCGCTGATCACCGCGTGACCCACATCTGCCAGGAGACTCTGTGCCTGCATTGATCCACTCCCGCACTGCCCCCTCTTGGCCGTTGCAGTCCAGATCTCCTTCTGGCAGATCAGAGAGAACATCTGGGGTCTCGGACATCCCTCACTGTGGCCCAGGAAGCCTTGGTCAAGTCCCTCCAGCAACCCACTGGCAACCCCAGTGGCAATTTTGGACACCCTGGGCATACTATCAAGCCCAGGGTGCTCCCCCAGTTGCCCGGCCACCGTCTCGCTTGAGCAACAGGCCTCCTGAGGCAACCCTTAGCCGTCCTCCTCCTGACACATACAAAACTGTGGATCCAGCACCTCCAAAAGAGGCTACTCCAGCTCCCCAGGAGGAGCCACCCACGTCTGATCAGAATGTTCCATCCGCACCTGTCCTGCCGGTGGAGTCATCTTCATTCTCCCCTGACAAGGCTGTGGCTGGCATGTCCACATCTGGACCACCCATATGGACTTTAGGGTCCTCCAGGAGCTGTTGAGGTGTGTGGCCCTCAATAAGAACCTCCAAATTGAGGAGGTTGTGGAGGATGAGGACCCCATGGTGGACATTCTAGGCCCAGAAGAGCCCTCCAGGGTGGCCCTTCCCATGAACAAAACCATAAAGAATAATGCAAAGTCCCTCTGGCAGACCCCGGCCTCCATCCCTCCCACAGCTAAAGGGGTGGAACGAAAGTACTTTGTTCCCACCAGGGGTTATGAGTATCTGTTTACCCATCCTGCCTCATGTTCGCTGGTGGTAGATGCGGTAAATGCCAGGGAGAGACAGGGCCAGCAGGGGCCTGCTCCCAAATCAAAAGACACGAAACGGCTGGACCTTTTGGGGAGAAAAGTTTATTCTACTGGGGATCTCTCGCTGCGGATCACTAACCACCTGGTGATCTTCAGTAGGTACAATTTTAATTCTTGGTCTGTGGCCCTTAAGTTCCAAGATCTTCTCCCAGCAGAGGCTCATACAGAACTGGGGGCCATTGCTGAGGAGGGTAAGCTGGTTGCTAGGACTTCCCTCTAGGGTTCCCTCGATGCTGCGGATGTGGCTGCGCGTACCCTGGCGTCGGGAATCGCTATGCGGCGGAATGCCTGGCTTCAGTCCTCCAGCCTTCCACCTGAGGTCCAGCATACCATCCAGGACCTCCCTTTCAATGGCCAGGGCTTGTTTGCAAATCAAACTGACTCCCGCCTGCATACCTTAAAGGACACAAGAAACACCATTAAGTCCTTAGGTATGCATACCCCGGTTACCTAGAGGAAGCCCTTTAGGCCACAGACCACCCAGCAACAGCCTTTCCCTCCAAGACCGAGGCAGGACCCTTCTCATCGGAGGAACAGATACTCCTGACATAGGCCATCTCGTCCTCCCTCTGGACAAGGCCAAGGACAGTCTA